ATCAGAGTCTAATGCATCGCTCAGAGGCCCAGATGACAAGTGCAGTGTCAACACTGAGAGATGATGAACATGAGCTCAGAAATACCACAGATACAGCCTGAGAGAGCAGTTAAACATGAACACAAAGTGCTGGACTGATGGAGCCCTGGTACATACAGTATATGAGTGAATCTTACAAGATGTGATATTTCACCCTAAAATCAAAAAAAGTAGATATTATATTTTGTATGAAGTAAATGAAGCTGTGGCATTATTGGTATTATTTCATCAAAATTAAGCCTATTTTATTGATTGCTGTAAATGCAAAAAAGAAAAACATTCTAATATATGTACTATATAATGGCATAATATATTTATGTATATAAGTTTAAAATAATTTACATTTCAGAACCAAATCAAAATCGAATAAACGTGAACTGAGACAAACTTTTGTATTTTAGCAGAGGCAACATTTCTCATTTTAATTTAGTTTCGTTTTTTAATTTAGTTTATTTTGATGTACTAAAACATCTAAAAATGAAATAAAAAATGTATTGTGTAAATAATTGTATATATAACAAACAAAAAATACTAAAAATGACAAAAACTGCTAAATAGTACAACTTTGACTAAACTTAAAATATATACAAAACTACTAAACTTTATAATGTACTACTACTAAACTTTAAAATAACTTTATATATAAACAAAAATACTAAAAATTACAACAACACAACAAAATTACTACAACTATAACTAAACTTAAAATGAAAAATAAAAAAATACAAATTGCAATAGTTTCTCAATACTAAAACAGCACTGCAAAAAGCAATTAAAAAGCATTTTACAGCATATCCATTATAGCATTTATACTGTTATATAATAATAACACTAAAAATCATGGTATGTCATTTATGTCAAATACTGTTTTTCATTTGAATGAGAATGGCTATAAAACAAAATCACATCAAATACAAAATGTAACTGAATAACTTATAGAATCAAGAACTGCTTAAATGTCATGAAAATAAGGTGAAAATTCATAATAAGGTCAACTGAGTGTGAAGCTGTATCTGAATGGAGGCCTTTATAGGGGTAAAAGGGCTATTAGAAGGTCTGGAGACATTGAGATAAAACATTTCATGACATGTTCTTAATAAACCTCAAATAAAGCCGTCACAAGTATTGAATTTTAGTCGCAGCACAATCAAACAGCAGCACATAAATATGCCATACAGACATGAAACGCACATAAGCAGAACTAGCACAGGCTTGATTCATTCATCATGAGCGGATCACCATGGCTTGCCACCTACTGTATCTATACACTCATTTCACTGAACTGGAGTTGGCAGCTTTAGTTCAGGTTATGCATTATTATTTAGGTCATCCTCCAATAAAGAAGCTATCCTTGACTTAATTACCCAATTCCCAACTCTACAACTGTCCAATTCCCTATTCCCAACTCTGCATGATAGCACTGAACTATTTTATGTTTGGTTCTCATCCTAAATATGTCCTAAATAGATACATCTTCTCTGTAATAATAATTATAATAATAATATTGTTGTTGTTTTTTAATGACTAAACAGGCAACAAATGATAAATTATATATATATATACATTTCCAAGTTTTATCTATTGGAAATACATTTCAGTTTCAGTTTTGCTTTAAATCAATTCATAAAGGCTTGCCATTTATAATAAATGTTGTTTATAATGAATTCAATTACAAATGATGCTTATTTTAAACTTCCTGTTCTGTTCTGAATACTGTTATATTCAGAGGATTTGTTGTGGATTGATGAGAACTAAAACTAAAACCTTAAGAAAAACATTTCTTCCTTTGAGATAAAGTAAATGTTAAACAAAAAAAGGAATACATAAATAAATAAATAAAAAATAGCTACAATTAGCCAATACAACATTTCTCATTTTTATTTAGTTTAAATTGATGAACTAAAATAACCAAACTAAATTATTTTTTTAAACAACAAAAAACAAAAACTATACTGACCTAATAAAACAAACTAATAAAGATGACAAAACAGTAACTACAAGTTACTAAACATTTAAAATTAAAATATATAAAAGCAAAAAAATATATAACATAGAAAAATAAAACTAACTCAAATATTAGTGAAAACTATAATAGTATTACAATGACACTAAAATAACACTGGAAGTAATGTTTGAAAATATTTTGTTTTATTTACCAGTATTTAACATTACCTCTGAGATAAATAAACAAACAAATGAATAAATAAACAAATAAATAAAGTAATAGTATTTTGACAAATATGTTATATATATATATTTTTTTTTACGTTAGTTATTTATTTAAAAATTGCTATCACTTTAAGGGTAAAACTTGGAATGTGTACAAACCATTGGCAGTGCACCTTGTTTAGGCATGAACAGAATACACTAGTAGTATGTTTGTATCCAATGGAATGACTTGTAGTTACGGTATAAGATACAGCTGGTTGCCATGGCTATAGTTTACCTGAGGTCCAGCTCTGAGACCGTCCTCTGGGCCACGCCCTCTTCAGACTCCTCCTCCAGCTCCGCCTCCTCTCTGTCTATACTATTTGTCTGTCTCCTCAGTTTTCCTGCCCTCCCCCCTCCTCTCTTCCTCCCTCTGTCCTCCTCTAATCCTGCTTCCTCCTGTTCCGCCTCCCCAACTGACTCCTCCCCCTCCCCGGAGAGGCTCCGCCCCTGCACTGCATTGCTGTGGGCGTGGCCGGCAGAAGCAGAGGTGCAAGCAGCATGCAGAACAAAAATGAAGCACAGTGAAAACAGGTGTCAACAGTACCTGAATGTAAACCGTAAAGTAAGAATGAATGAATGACAACACAACGAAATAACGCAATGCTAACAGTAAAAACAACAGAAGCCAGACAGTATGCACATAAAACAGAACAAAAATGTGTTTCAAAGCTTGCAGAACTGAAATATTCACCTCTAGTTTGCTCGTGATTATTTGGTAGCATTTCAGTAAAAGTAACTGTTTGTGTTCGCTGACATGGAGCAAATTATGAAAATGTTGGACGACAGACAAATGCTATGAAAGTACACTACCGTTCAAACGTTTGATGTCAGTACAATGTTTTTTTGAAGAAGTCTGTTATGCTTACCAAGGCTTCAATTTTTTTTGTCAAAAATACAGTAAAAACAGTAATAATGTGAAATATTATTACAA